AATAAATGAGCTGAGCAGCAAAAATTGCATTACAATAATACAGCATAATGAAAACAATTTAAATCTGTATGTACAATTTTAGTGACTTAGCATGTAAATAACTGACTCTGAACATAAAATTTATTCTTCATTATCACAGACCTCGTTTTGCAGTAATTTGTTTACATGCTTTAGTAGTTGTAGCACAAACTTTTAATTATATGATATATTATGTTAGGCTTATTGTCTGTCAAGGTAAACAAGATAAAAGTTGTCCTGCCATATGTTCCAACAAGGGAGAGTTTAGAGATTGAGGGCTGCTTTGATAATATGAGGAGTACATATTGGGTGGTTTCTATCAAATTTGAATCACAGGGAAAAATTCTTTTGAAGAAAGGAATTTTGGCTATCCACCACCAAGAGAGAACTGGTATAAAACATCATGCCTGCCTCTAAAAGAGGCTGAACAGTGGATGTAAGTAAAATACCTATTTGGTTCGCATCTATGATATTCTAAATGTTCCTTGATATGATCTGAAGTTAAATTTTGTTATTATGTTGTTCAATATCATTTGGTATTAATAATTTAAAAGGCATGTTCATGTTCTAAGGGCAATGACTAGTCAAGAAAGAGGCCAAGAGATGCATGTTTTTGAGTATTAGCAGATACCAGAAGCACTGAAATTGGTCTATCAACTGAACCTCTGCAAACCACCTTACAATGAGCTAACAAGGCTTTGGAAACGGTTATTTATCTCTCACTTAACTCCCAAATTACCCCATCCAAGACTGATTACTTGTTTTTTACTACAACAAACGAACATGATGACTTGTCTCCGGAATCAAAATTAATGCTGCATAGTTAGGACTCAGCTAAAAGAAACTGTCATGCGAGCTAAACTTGTTTCGCTGTACTCTATCATGTGTACATATTCATAAATTATATTTTATGGAGAAATACTAATTCAATTGTCTGAATTAAATCTGAAACAAAAATGTTTCAGAATTAAGAACCATCGTTCTTTTTAGTGAAAAAAAACTTAGTTTTATATATAAAAAGACTGCACAGGCAATCTATACCCGAAATTAATAAATGAAAAAAAAAGAAAAACACAGGGTGACAAAGCTATTTTCTCTACTATATTTGGATGGTAAACAATTAAAGAAGCGAGCAAAACACTGATCTTTTAAAAACAAAATTAGCAAGCAAGTTAAAAAAGCTGCAACAGGGCTAAGTTATTTTGCTTTCTTTTTGTACTGATGAAATTGTTAAGAGTAGGTATCAATGTTAGTAGAACAACTCACTCAATACAATCAGCTATGTAAATGTGGCAACTCTCCTTTACTGTATGTACAATTGACGTGGACCATGCAGAAAAAAGTTAAGTCTTTTGCCAGAGTCATCCAGCAATGATGTAACATAGCTAAGAATGTGAGGTATGGATAAAGAAATCGTAACTATAAAAATCAGCACCTGAATTTTCCTCTCCTCCACAGTCCCAAAGGTGCTTTTTCGGGAAGCCACTGGACTTTCTTGTTTTTTCTTTTGAAGACATTTCACTTTTCATCCAAGAAGCTTCTTCAGCTCTGACAGGATAATGGGGAATGGAAGGATCCAGCCAGAGCTGAAGAAGATTCTTGGATGAGAAATGAAACATCTTCAAAAGGAAAAAACAAGAAAGTCCAGTTGCCTCCTAAAAAAAGCACCTTTGGGACAACCATGACCTGGATGACTGAGAATCTCTACAGATCTCTCCTTCACAGCTTATAATAGGAACAAAATGGGGGAGTGCCATAATTGTCCTGAATTTAATGGAAATAAAGGAAATAAGATAAGAATTTTTCAGCAGTGCTAATGACTGAACTCTTGCAGAAATTACATTATTTTGCTGCTGTCAATGGTAATTTTGGCTGATCCAAGAAACTGGCCAACTGGAATCCTGTGTGCTCTTCTATTGTGTCTCAGACTAAATCTTAAACCCAAATGTGTGTTTTAGTAGTAATTATGAGCCAAGGGAATCTCTGGCTCTGTTTGACACGATCTTTAATTCAAAGATTATCAATGCAGATTTGTTCCGTAAGTAACAGCATAGCATCTTCTGTTGGTTTTTTTTTTAAAGTACAGTAAAAGGAAAATAGCCTTGCCCTAAGATTTATGATACTTTTAACATTGTGAGGTACTCTAGTTTGTTAGCCACAATGAAAGCAATTCTTCCAGTCTTCTAGGCTGGGGAAGGAACTATAGAAATTAGGGATATTTTGTTTTTCTATGGATATAGACATATAAAATATACTCTTTATCTTGCAGTTTCAGGTTCATATCCAGCCTACACCATTGACATTCAGCACTGATTATGCTGTGTGGAATGCGACAGTTCTTTAACATTAGCAAAATTTGCCCAGTAGCAATTTAAAGTTGTGTGAGGCATTACATGTCTGTAAAATGCATCTACATGCATTGCCCATGAAATGTCAAAATAGCATTATTTCCCTTTTGAGAAATACAAGGTAGAATTTGAGCTAATGGAAATGATACAACTTGGAACCAGGCCAGCTAATCATGGATTGGATTTTATGTCCCATTGAAATAACAGATGCTCCAGCAGCACGCAGCACCTACTGCACGGCCTTCCTGCTGCTTCAGTGCTAATTTAGAGCCCATCCATTGCCCAGTCACCTATACTAGCTCATTGTGTGTTACAAAATAGTATTAACAAAAACAGGCACATTTGTAGAGCCATTTCTGATATGATCCTCTGACATAAAAGGAAATGATGACCTACAAATCAAAAAAGATTCAGTCTGACATGCATCTGAGCCCTACCTCCTCATTTTAATGCTCAGGTTACAATACATTCAGCTGTACTTGTAGAGAATCTATACATTCAGTATAGTGGTGAGTTTCAAATTTTTTTACTACCGGTTCTGTGGGTGTAGCTTGGTGGGAATGGCATGGCTTGGTGGGCATGGCTCGGGCATGGCAGGGGAAGGATACTGTAAAATCTCCATTCCCTCCCCACTCCAGGGGAAGGATACTGTAAAAATCTCCATTCCCTCCCCACTCCAGAAGAAGGTTACTGCAAAATCCCCATTTCCTCCCGATCAGCTGGGACTCGGGAGGCAGAGAATAGATGGGGACAGGGCCAGTCTGAGGTGGTATTTACCAGTTCTCCAAACTATTCTAAATTTCTGCTACTGGTTCTCCAGAACTGGTCAGAACCTGCTGAAACCCACTGCTGATTCAGCATTAGCTGGGCCCCTTTGGTTCAATGTCACCTTTGTTTCCAAACTAATTTTAAAGTTCCATAGTTGTAAGGATCTTATTCTTTTCCAAGCCTGACCCATTTAACCAAAACTATCTGGGTTAAGGCTTTCAGCTGGTATTCATTTGCCACCCCTCTCATTTTTTTCCTCCTAACCAGGGCTTCAGGAGCAAGGCTAAAAGGAAGGAAAATATCCAGTTAATATTTTTGCCTATAAATAAAAATGTAAGGACCGTTTAAATAAGCATTTTGGCAGTCAGTCTGAAGAGGCCTAGGCCTTTTGAGATGGGTTATCAGTTTATAATCTCCAGGGCACCAACTAGCACTAAAATGTCTTCTTATAATAGTATTTAGTTTATTAAAAATAAAGAACAGCAAAGAAAAATACCTGTGGGTATTAGGTTTAAAGGAAACGATTAAGAGCAAGTGTAAACAAAAGAACAACGACTAAGCTTATCCAGGATGGAGATTGACTCTCAGGGAATCAGGCAAAGGCTTTAAGCATATCTGAAATGAAATGAAATAATAGTTTCACTCAAGTACTTACTACACCTAGACATCTGTGTGGCTTCAAATCCTTCTGGCATCCTGGAGGATTATATCCCACAACCCTAACATGGATTTAAAATTGTTCCCTTCTCTCCTAATGAGCTGCTTCTTCAGAAGATTTTTTTAAAAAAAATCATCCAGCAAAGTTTTGGATACCAGCTATTTAATCTCAAGGGAATGATGAGTCATGTTTGCTTTGGGATTTAACCAACTGTCCCTCCTGAGTTTCATTACTGGAGGATGAGTTCAACTGAAAGGCCATTATTTGTCTATTTTGATCTAATGGAGTCCAATGAACCCTCTAGCAAAGTTAATTATCGAATCATAATTGCAGAATAATACCACTCATTTTTGTTTCTTTTTGAAATACTTCTTTTTATAGTTTTTTTCTTTCTTTATAACTTCCTGGGTTGTTTATTTATTCTTTCTTTCTTTTTTGTATTAAACTAATAACTGCAAAACAAAAGAGTAGCATTCATTTCAATTGTGGAATAGGCAATTACTTTTCTTTCTCAAATTTTGAGACAGAAAAGTATATGTTTTGAGCATCATGTAAAACTAATGCCTAGGATAATCTACATTCACAAAGAGGATTAAAAAAAGTATTACAGATGAGTACAACATTATGTTTGCTACACTAACTTTCCCCCCCAATATAACAATGCGTCAGATTCCAGCAATACTAAATTAGTTTTTCATGTGAATTGTTTCACTTATAGATTAAATGAAAACAGTCATACTACCTTCCTGGCCATTTTGCCATTCATCCCACATTGGATTCCCTATTGAAAACGTGACATCATCAATACACAAGTCATGGCCGCGTTTAAAGCTGACAGACAAGTCACTGCCACATTTCAAGGCCAAAATTTACATCTCTTTCAATCTGAAGATGTCAATGTGGTGATTTTTAATTTCCCCTTGCCATTGTATTCTGGCCCTCACCACTAAAGAAAACCTCCACAGGTTGGTCCTACTAAGCTCCATTTCAACGGTAGCAAAATGAAAATCCACACAAATGACTTCCATTATGCCTTTATTTTCCTACTGGCATAATGGCAACTTGCCCCTTAAAATCAGCTCATACAATCCTGATCCTTTATTGTATTTTTTCCCCTAGAGTCTAGACCATTGGAAATATACTGTAATGTTTAAGAACTAGCACAAGGAGACATTGAAGTGCATTAAAACATGCCCGACGTTTCTTACCTCTACCAGATGAGGTGTTGGGTTGAATCCACACATGTTGCAGACCTGCTGCTTACAGGATGTGCAGGTATTATAATTGGAGGGCTCTCCAGAGCCCACGTTTATCTCCGCTTTGCAGAGGGGGCACAAAACCCTTACTTTCGGCACTTCCTTTGGCTTGGTTACTTGTTCTGCTTTCGCTTGCTTTGCAGCTGGGACAGTTCCAGGCTTACTCTGCATTCCAGGTCCAGTGCTTGGGGCCTTAGGGCCAGCTTCTTTGCTAGCATCACTGAAGACAATTTTTGGAGGCACTTTGCCAGGAGACTGTTGACTTGGTGGAGTGGCCTCTGGCTGGACAGACATGAGTGTGCTTGCCTGGGTCAGGAGGGAAGCTCCAAATCCAAAAAGCTTCCCGGTGAGGCCCTCTTGGGTTTGTTCTTGAGCCCCCCCAGCACTGGGGGGAGGGACCGGAGTCTTAGCTGGGGAGTCTCCTACAATCTTTCTCTGATCAATGGATGAAGGCTTTGCTTGTTGATGCTGAGGGGAAGACTTCATCACTTCCTGAGGAGCAGCAGGTTTTGGCTGGACTTGGCTGGGTGGTTCTCTCTGGGGCGAGACTGGGGGATGTTTGGGGGATGGGGGTTGCATGGTTGCAGCACTTGGCCTGGGCCCTGGCTGCATAGTTCCGGGTTGTTTCTCTGGTCCTGTTGCCACTTGGGGCTGTGGTTGTGGTTGTGGCTGTTTGGCAGGGGAATGGGAAGGAGAAAGGGATGGAGAATGTAATTGCTGCTGACTTTTGGAGCGGGGTGCTGTGGTCATGTCCATTCCCAAAGCTCTCTGCATCTGGCAATTTAAACATAGCCATTCTTTAACCTAGAAGACAATAATAAAACAGAATAACTCATCAGCAACAAAAACAAGATTGTCATTAAACTGCAGAAAGAACTTCTTTTGTTGGGGGTGTTACTTGGAACCCTAACAGCAGATTCTGATGCGCTCGATATGCCTACACACATATGGTACATTGTCTTTTGCTCATTAAACTAAATAAAGCATATCTGTACCTCTTCATGGGTCTTATAGGTATTTTGTTGCAAGTAATTTGTCCTTTTTGGGAGCTGTTATCTGAAGGCTTCTATTGTTTCCTCTAATGCAACCAGCGTGTGTATTTCTATGAGCTGGTTCTTATTTCTGATGGTTTCCATCTGACCATCTCAGGAATATAGCCTGTCACGCTAACCCTTTTCCAAGTGCTGTGACATCAGCCATAAAGTAGCTTCAATGGAGGCTTCACTTCAGCAGATAGGGCAGTTATAAGGGCAGCAACTACAAGAATGAATAGGGTCTATCTATTATGGCCCATTGGGCTTGCTCATCTTACCTGGAAAGATACTTTGGCAAAGGCAGAACTATACCAGCAGCAATGTACAAAAATCACATTTGGGCCCAGTACTACCACTTTCTGCCGTGTCCTAAAACTATGAAAGATTGTAGGCCCAGCAATCTTTCTGAGGCAAACAGGTATGGTATTTTTTCAGTTGGCCGTGCACTCAGTATAGAAAGCAAGGCACATCTTCACTCAATAAACCCCCTAGATACAAAAAGAAAACTGTGGCATGTTTTGGCTAAGCAGTAATAAATGAATTATCTTCCCCCATGAGGAATATACCAATGACATAGCAATATCTGAATCAAGTTAATTAAAGAGGCTGTTTAGGAGCCACAAATCTGTTGATTCTTGGAATCCCCATATGAGTGTTAATATGCAACACAGTTAAATAATCACAATTATTTATAAACTGGCGGATTTCTTTTCCCTGAGCAAGCACTTGTAGTCTTTAAAATCTGTATGATAATAAGATCTGCAAAATGGCAAAAGAATAACTGAGAACATTACAGTTAACAGAGATAGTTGGGAAAGTGGCAAATATTTGGCTCCAGGTTTAAAAACATACCAATTCTAAACCCATCCTTACCCTTGCATCCTTCTATTTTCTCTGATCTAATCCTGTTAGTTTCTCAGCCCATTCAGGCCTTCTTTCTATCACAACTGGAGTATGCTCACCACATAGTTAAGCTGCACTTCACTTTTAGAAGCTAAAGAGGGCACACAAAATGACTCAGTTACACACATACGTCATATAGATCTATCTATACAATCACACTCAAACTGCATTCAAATGTTGCCTTCACTATTAAGAAATATGCACTTGTTTGAAAATAGATTTAATCCATACTATTAAATTATGTCTGATACTTTGCAATCTTCAATAGGACAAAATGGCGCATCATAGAACAATATTGTTTGAATCAATGTACCTCAAATGGGCTAATTTACAGAATGCACCCAAAATATGAGATCCATTATTATTATTATTATTATTATTATTATTATTATTATTATTATTATTATTATTAATCAAATTTCTATACCGCCCTACTCCCGAAGGACTCAGGGCAGTGAACAGCCAAGATAAAATACAGATAATACAAATATTAAAAATCCCTTAAAATTATTAAATATTTTGGCCGAAACACAGATTAAAACCCCCAATTTATAAAATTACGAATTAAAAAATTTAATAGAGGAGAGTTAGGCCAGGCCAGCCTGCTGAAATAGAAAAGTTTTGAGAGCACGGAGAAACGTGCGCAGGTCCGGGATCCTCCGTCTCTCTGGGGGGAGCTCGTTCTAGATGGTAGGTGCCCCCACAGAGAAGGCTCCCATGAGTCCTATGGGATTGAAATTTGCCATAGTTGTGGCCAGTTCAGAACCACCATGCCATCCAACTACACTTCCTAGAAACCTGAAGGTTGCATGGCACAAGGGAGGGGCATATCCTCACCCTCTTTGACCCCTGTGCCCAATCAGTTGGTGACAAGGCTCAATAGGCGAGCAGCCATTGGCTACTTTGGAACCAAAGCTGAAATTCAAAATCTCTTAATAGCGTTGGCCCATGAAGGAAGAATGAGGGAACGATTCAAATGCCTGGTGGCAAAGTAGAGCTGGTTGGGAGGTGCTGAGTGTGCCGTCTTCCTTCCTGGAGGAAGGGAGACCTTGAGAACATGGTGGAATTGGAGGAGGGGAGTTTTCTTCAGTGTTCATGGATTCCTTTGTTCACCCTCCACAGAACAAAATGATCAGTTCTACAGGTCAGCCGAGTGGGAGCAGGAGAAATTAGAGGAGGGGGCTTCAGTGGGTCTCTCATGAGGGTGCCTGCTTGTATTATATGTGGAAAGAGAAAGTATGAGGGAGAATGTGATCAGCTAAGGCTGGCTGGGTGTCGCTGGAGAGGGGTGAGCCAGGACACACCAGAATGTCCTTGATACAGAGATACAACTTCCCTTGTGGTCCATTGGTCCCTTTGTTCCCCCTCACTTCAGCAAAGTAGCGGGCAGTTCCATGGATCAGCCAAACAGGACAAGGAAGAAGCTTCATGGGGAAGGAAGACCCTCTCCTGAGGGTCGTGAAGGAAGGAGAAATGGTGCCAGCCTATATTATATGGGGAAAGAAGTTATCGATAAGGCCGATCAGAATCCACATAAATGCTTGTGAGATCATAACTTTAAAATGCAATACAAGAAAGTGACACACAACCTCTTCACCAGATTCTCCCACTACCCACTGTTTCATTTTATTTTTTTTTAACAGTGATGGTCCCATGGGCAAGAAGTTCTCTGGAGACTCCACACACTCTTGACACTCTACCCCCTCCAGTTTTCTTCCCCCAGTTCTGATTTTCAAATTCACTTTCCTGTTTGTTCTCTTGCTGTTTGTGCTTTCTAGTGAGCCACTAGAGGCACAGTGGTTAGAGTGCAGTACTGCAGGGTACTTCTGCTGCCTGCCGGCTGTCTGCAATTTAGTAGTTCAAATCTCACCAGGCTCAAAGTTGACTCAGCCTTCCATGCTTTGGAGGTGGGTAAAATGCGGAACCAAATTGTTGGGGATAATATGTTGATTCTGTAAACCGCTTAGAAAGGGCTGTAAAGCACTGTGAAGTGATATATAAATCTAAGTGCTATTGCTATTGCTCCATTTGAGAAGAGGTGGCACTGGCATGGAGTATGCTATGGAACAAAGCTGTAGTTATGGATGGCTTCTCATTTTTCTACAAGGTCTGCCTCTCAGAGACATGTGTGATTTTTGAGTTTGAAATAGACACTTCTGGACTCTGGACCTAGTGAGCTTAGCAGCATCTACTTTCTTGTATTGCATTTTAATGTTATGATATGTAGACACAAGCATGGCTTTCCATTCTGCTGGGCTTTATATATAGCTAGAGAATCCGTGACCGGTTAGGTCATCCCCCCCCCAATATAATATACGTTTCTATGATTTGTCCATGGATGTTACAGGAAACAGGTGCAAGAAGCATTTTATTAAAAGTCTTAACCAGCCTGTTGTGATGCAAGTTATTTAGCCTATTTCTTTAGATACAGAAATCTTTTATTTTTGTTGTTTTTTTTAAAAAAATTATTGGAAGCTACAAAATCATATAAACAAAATGATTCAACAAGGAGGTCAGAGTCTAATTCCATAGTTACCCATCAAGTTAAGATACCAGGTCACAGAGTTCAGAAAGATCACTGCCTGAGAATTACAGCCAGTCAGAACAGGTTATGTTTGTTCTACGGCTTTTGTATTAGGAAAAATATTATTCCTATGAACAGTTAGACACCTGTGAGCTAATTGGTCTTCATTTGGTGAATAAATTGCTTCTTTTATCCTATTAGAATAATTACAATAAATCAAGAAATAGAAATTAGACCAAAAGGCAGAGCAGGGCATACTTATTATTTCTATTCTGCCAAGGCCACCTTTGCCTTGATAGAGGCAAAATCAAACATTCCCTATGATTTACATTGTACAGTCACACATATGTGTATTGTAAGCATCTGCTATGCAGTTGGCACCCCCAATATACACCAGTCTCTGAAACAGCATCTTATCTGCCAAGCTTCCCATCTTACTGAACTAGCCTAGCAGCTAGTCATTGTTTTACCTAGCGAGAAAGCTGCAAACGCTCTTCTAAGGCAGCAGCACCAAGGAAGATGGAACTAGATGTTCCAGATGAAAGTAGTGTCAAGCACTAGATTGCAATCCATCTGTGCAACCCCCACCCCTCAATCTAGCTTTACCTAGTAAACATGCAGTTTGTCTGCATTACAAACAGATGGAGGAGGGGAGATTGGTGCAGAAAAAGGGGTGGGTAGAGGATAAACACCCACATCCTACCTGCTCTTTTTTTCAGACCGGGTTCTTCACAAACAAGTTTCTTTCATATAATTTTTTTTAAAACAAGGAAGAAACTGAAAATTATGTTGCCCTTAAAGTAAAACTTCATACTTCAGAGGAGTCCTATTTTTGCATTGGTATGTTCACATTTTGAGATTATGTTTCTTTAATGACCAGTCCCCTCCATGCCTATGAATGTTTGCTTGAAACAAAGGGCCATTGAAATCAGTACGTTTGCTTCCAAAATAGGGTTACAAGATTGTTGGCAAAAGGAAGACATGCCTTCTTTTTTCTCCATAAGTTCTCCATTTGGCAGTCATAGTCTTGCAATCAAATAGTGTCAGGCATTTTAGTATCTCTTTTTTTAAGCAGTTTTTCCCCCAGTGCAGCACTTTCCTAATAAGTGCTAACTGCAAGTTAACAAGCTCTGCTCTATAACCTTAATCAGTTGATTAGGACCTTCTCTCTGCTGCCTGAAACTGACCAGACCTTAATCAGGTACATACTGAAGGTTTTTGCCTCCTACTTTAGCACATTCCTGTGACTGAAAAACAGACTTTCTGATGAGCTACAGTATTTAATAACCTTATTGCAGAGTTCATGTAAAATTTAAACGAATTTTGAATTACAATCAAGGCAA